CTTATAGCAAAAGGTTAATTTCAGAAATGTTACACATAAAAAAACAACAGAATAGCCTTAATAAACAAAGTGACACGGATTTCCTTCCTAACTCTTACCTACCCATCCTTCGCAAATTTCCCTCCTTTTAGACTCTTTCCAGATCCCCCTCCTTTTCTCCACTCTTCCATATTCCTTACTTCCCTTCCCTTTTCCTCTAATAGATCGGCCCCTTGTCCTTCTACCAAAATCTTTTCTCAATTCAATTTCATCATTCATTCATCTGACATATATCCGAATGGACATATCAAAGTTTTATTCTATCCTTAAGGACTTCAACTTTCTAATGGGACACCAAAACATTTTATCAAACCTTTTAATCTTTGGACTTTCTTATTTTCAACTGTTATTAAGATCAAAGGTAAATGTTGCTCTGTTTTCTTGCATTTTATGTGACTAACGTCTTTCCATTCATGTTGTTGGGTTAAATTCGTTTCACATTTTTATAATAGTCTCTATTTTATTTCTTTTATTCATATTTCTCATAGATTGACCGATCACTCGTCGGCTTCTCATTTTTTGCAATCCGTTAAACATAAGGAAAGGGTGGCAAAAAGAAAAATGTCTTCCGAGCGTTGCTGTGCATGTCGCATACTAGAACACATTGATTTATAATTGGTTCGAATTTGAAGACACATTTACTTATACATTTTATTATATCATGGACATTCAAGTAAGATCTCCTAACCTGCATTTCTTATACGATGACTTTGCGTTTGCGGTATTATTTTATTACTATTTATTTTAATTTACATTTTATATTTTATTTATTTTATTTTACAACGAGCGTTCAAAAATTTTTCCAACCGATATGCGTTAGCCTTACGGAACATACTTGTTTTATTATTTCATGTTTCCTCTGTAACGTTTGTTTACTTGCTTTGATATTATCACTGAAGATGGCCGAAATAAATGTGCCGAAACGTTTGAATTGACATTTTAGTTATTATTATTTATTGAGCATCTAACACCCGGCTCTGGGTCAATATAGCCAATTTATTTTTTAATTGTTTTAAAAATGTTAAAACTCATGTTTGTAAAGTTGTAATTTTCTGTATAATCTATTAATTTTGTTTTAGTATAAAATAAGAAATACATTGTGTTTTAATAACGTTTAGCTAATATTGTACAGTTAATATATCCTTAAATTATTTCAGAAGCAAAAGGACAACAAGCAAATACAAAGATTAAAGAGATACTTAAGCATAGCTGGTGTGAGAATCAAGTATAATGCTTTGACCGATTGTAAAAATAACGCGTCACGAATTAGGCACCTGAAAGAATTGTTGGAGAAAAATGGTGTTAATGGAAGGCCAACGTTGGAAAAATGTAAGCGAGCTAGAGAAGAGAATGAAAGAATGCGGGAAGCATCCGAATTAGATGTGTCCAATATTATATCCGAAGGTCAGTATTTTCCAAATTTCGTTATTAATTTATATTATAACATCGTAGGTTTAATATATGTTAAATTTTGGGTTATATTTAGGACGTGTTACGCGCGCACGAAGGAATATGGATAACGGAAGAAAAGCAATATCTTCAGATACACCGCCGCGACACCGAGAGGCTCGCAATTCGTTCAAGCGAATTCAAACTGTTATTGATAGCGATTCAGAGTAAAGTACAGAATATTTGTAACAAATCCGCGATTATTGAAAAATACAAAGTCTTCTTAAGTTCTAAGTAAGCGCCTCAAGGCTTCCTAATATTGCATTTGTGTGTGTTATGTTTGTATTATTTAAGTTTTCATATATCGTGAACACAATTATTTTCTTCGATAATGTCTCCATGAATTAAAGTAATATGATATTTACGATATTAATTAGAAAGATGAGAGACTTATCAATTCGCTTATTTTTAATTATAATCAAGATAAATCGCTATGTAAAAGATTGATATAGAAGTTTTGAAAGCTTCAAAAACAGTTGCGTCTGGCATGAACAATGATACATTTCAGCGTGTATAAAAATATAAAGAGAAAACTAAAGTTGGAACAAAGATAGATGAAATTGTAAAGAAAAGGTTTGCTTAAAAGATGTTAATTTTTATAGTATCAAGAATTTAATTGTAATATATAAATATACATTGCGTATATATATGCATTGTGTATATGAATAATTGTAATTAATTATGTAATTTGCTTTTCATTAAGCCTATACACAACAACTTCAGGAAATGTTAGGAACACGATAATTAAGAATGACCTTAAAAATATCGATCACAAAATCTATCTTCTATTTTCATACTTGTAAATTGTGCAAAAGTTTATTCAAATCGACTCTTAACGTTAGAATAACCGTGCATCAGCAGAAAAGTTACAAAATTCGTTTCAATTGCACGAGATTATACAAGCGTAACTGTTTTATATAAAAATTCTATATTTGTTTTAATAATATTGATACATTTATTATTGTTCAAATATTTATCGATTTATTTCAATTTTAATACATTTATTGTTCAAACATTTTGTGTTTCGTATAATATGTACGTAGAAAATATATCTTAAGTATAAAGTGTAATATTTTTAAAATATGTATACACACGTATATTATGTTCATTATAATTTGTGAATTATATCTTCTTTTCATTAACTACGGCTTTATTCATTTATGAACTTTATTGGTGTTAAATGTATGCTTAACATTGTACTTTTTTATATATGTATATACGCGCATGTGATGTTCACATTTTCAGTGAAAATAACATATAAAAAATATTATATAGACTATTTCTTCATAAATGATTTATTGGTTAAGGAACTTCGAGATGCATTCTTTACTGCAAAACAATTTATCTTTCTTTATTGCCATTTTACCGTTTAGCAAGTTTTTCTTGCAACTATAGCAGCAAAAGCAGGCTTCAGTTGCGTGGAAGTTTAAGTCTTTGATAGCGACACCTTGTTGATCAGCGGCGATCACTGTGTTACATGCGACGCATGTTTTGGCGTAAGATTTTTGATAACAAGAAAGGCACAATGGACGATCGTTTTCAGTGATATATTGTTGCCCAGCCAATGGCACATCACAGTCCCAGCAACAAAAATGTTTTACATGATAATTGTGTCCCTCGGCAACCGTGTATTCTCGCACAAAGATTAACTGCAACAAAGAGCACATTAGATAAATTATTTTTTTAATTTTAAGTATTAATGACGTATACATGCGTCCTTTGAAAATTAATTGACGTATTTGCGTGTTATTTAAAAGAAAGATACATTTCGTCTAATTTTTCAATGATATTCGTGAGTTTTTAAGTGAATTTGGAGAAATTTAAACTTTCAAAGTGTCAAATTTAATATAGAAAGATCGTAGCATAGCCAAGTTGATTTCTAAGAGTTTTAACATTCAAATTTTTGACATCAAAATTTTAAAGTTTAAGATAATATTATTTTTATAAAGTAAAAAAATTTATAGTATTTTGAATTTTTTAATTATGTATACATATATTAAAATTAAGTATTAACAACTATTTTTGAATTTAATCGATGTTTTGTCTTAACTTTTTGAATTTTTATTCATAAAAGCAATAAATTCTTGAAAGGATGTAAATGACAAAATTCACATTTTAATGATTAAAAAAATTTTATATAAAATATATTCAAATTTCTAATCGATCTCGATCTTAATAATTCAACATGTAAGCATCGTCCTGCACACAGCGAGCATTTCCTCGCTGAAGCGTGTTGCACGTGAAAGAGGTTGAAGAGTTAAAAAATAAATTACACAAGGCGTGTCTTCACACATACTTACTTCGTCGCAAGCGAAACATCGAGGGATTTCTAAGAATGCGGCCAGGTCTCTTCCGCAGTACAACTGATTCTTGTAGTAAAAGTAGACCAAGTCCACCAACAATTCGTCGCACACCGAGCAAACGAAGCATCCGGGATGCCAGAATGCATTGTTAGCTTTCTCCGCGGTTATAGCGACGTCACCAACGCGTATATCCTCGTGACACTTCTCACAATTATGCGGCTTCGTCGAATCTACTCTTAAAGCTTCCATGGCGTCCTTTAAGTATTCCGCGTGCTGCGTGTTGCGTTGCTCGTTGAAGTTTTCGACGACGTGAGGGAACACCTGGTTCTGCAATTGCTCGGAATGAATGACGGTTGGACGTAGAACTGCGTTGTTGAGCGCGGCTTGCAATGGACTGGCGTTAACAGAAGATTGTGAATCTGATGAGTGTGAAACAGCAGGATTCGTGCAATTAGATTTGCTCGAATTCGTTGCGACGTTAGGCGCCTCCGTCGCTGACGAATCACTCGTCCCTTTGTGTTTCGATAGCCAACTGCATTGCTTTTCGTCATTTATGTTAGCGATAGTCGATTCTACTACTTGAGATGGTTGTTTATGCGTCTTTCTCTCAGATTCTAAAGGAGACTTTTCCGCGGAAGTTTTCGTAAGATTTTTCACAACCTCTCTTCTTTCCGGGTCTTTGTTACTGCTCGTGTGATTGTTCTTGATTCTGCCCTTAAAGGGCAATGTATCGCTCGCGTCCAACGGTCGAGATGATTGAAGAGCAGCGTGCAACACTGGATTCTCCGCCGCGTTATATTTGTCGGCGAGTTTATTTCGTATAAAAGACAACTTCTCCTCGTCTAGCGTGCTGCCTATAATGTCGTTCGCGTGTATCGCGCTGGGTGGAAGGAACGCGTCCGCCAACATGGATTCCGCGATAGAAGCCGCCTCGCTGTCGATGGTTGTGGAATGCACGAAACACGGCGCGATGTCGTTCAGCGTCTCTCCATGTCTCTCCGTAGCGCTTCTTTCGTACGGCACGTAATTTCCGGAAGTGTGCGTCTCACGAGCGGATACAATTTCCTGCTCGGCGAGACACGCGGGAATCGAAAAGTTAACCACTTTGCTATTTATGCCTCTTTTGCTCGCGGCATCACCTGCGGGTTCGATATTCTCGCAGAATTTCTTCTCGATTGGTTGCGACTTTGCGATATTGGCGGATACATTATCCACTGGACACTTGTATTCTTCCGCGGTATACACTTCATTGTCGTTTACAGCTCCAATATCCTGTTTATTTGGAGTTTTGTACAGATGCTTTGATGGGCTTTTTGCAGCGAAGCTGCTTGGTGTACGTAATTGAACACCAGTGGATGGTACGTGAGGTTTTCGCTGCGGACTACGTTGCATGTCGGTTGCGTTGATAGGCGTCATAAGAGAACGATCGAAGGGACGAGCGCCTAACATCTGAAAATACCATTTGTGTTATCTACTCGTGTATATTTTTAACAAAACATCTCACATCTCATCGTCTCTTGACACAATCATCAAAAATTTGAATCCAAGATTTGAATGTATTATTTTAATTATATATTATTACTTATACGCAAAAGGTTTTTCTATTTAATTCGATTCTTACATTCTGATTCTCTGTTGAGATTATGTACTTAATTCTCGTAAGCTCTAAGTATCTCAATCTGAGATTAGTGTATATTTTAATGTCTCGATGCGGACGAATAAGTTTCAATATAAAAAATAAAATTATTTGGCACATTAACAACCACGTTGGCTCCATTGTATTATATTTAATAAATAAAATTTTATAAATTCAAATCTTGGATTCACTCCTACTTCTTGCATTATGTGTTTATAAATAGCGCAACAAAGAATTATTGAAATCACACTCTGACCTGTTATTAATGTATTGATAATGTATTGTAAAAACTTACCTTCATAACTTTACCTTGCCCCACATATTTCTTTATGCTCTCTAAATATTTTTCAAACTGCTTCTGCTCTTGTTCACTAAGTTCGTCGCATGCTTTATGATTGATATCGTGAAGTGGTAGCTGTTTCTGTAATAATTGCCTCCTTAAAACGGCACCGGTAGATCCTTTAATCGGCAATTTCTCTGCTGGCAAAGCTTTCATATAATCCATAGCGAGTTCCTTAGTCGTATCCGGCGGCACCCATTCGAATATCGTTTCACCCTCATGGTGTTTCCTGTTATTTATTTTCAAACCTAAAAAGTAAATTTTAAAAAATTAGAAAAAATTAGATATACACAAATATAACATAATCAAACAAAACCTGTCCATAAGAAGTTCTATTTTATCTGAAGTTAAAACAAAAATTATGTCACATTGTATCACAAATGAAAATTAAATTATTTAATTTTATATAATTATAAAAACAATATATATATATCATTAGTAGTAAATGTTATTTTATAAGAACTTTATCTATGTTTAAAAAAATTGCAGAAATGTCATTTTGACATACACCAATAAATAGAACATAAATATAATACATGTGACACATACACATGGATTTCTTCCTAAATTTTTTACTTGGCCCGAATAACAGATCAAACTGTAGAAAATCATCGTCATCCACATCATGATCATCCCGACCGCATTTGCAATTCTTGCAGATCTTTCGCCAAAAATGCAGGTCAAGCCCGGGACATCCGGAATTACAATTAACGCACGGCGCACCAGCTCCAGTTTCATGCGCTAAACGCGGCTAAACAAAGAAGTAGATGTTAATAATCAATCACAATTTTATGTATACACAATTGTTCCTTTTGATTTCCTATCTCCATTTTTTCTGACTTTTCATAAAAGTAAATATAAGAAAACTTGTGACAAACCTTTCGCTTGCGATTTTCCAGTTCCAACAACCATTTCGGCCGATCCACAATATCCTCCATTCTCTGAGATGAAAACAAAACGCCAGTACTTCAGAAGACCAATTTATTTGGTATGATTCATCGCTGAATCACGCTTGTCTCGCTCTTCAGTGTGAAATCGAAACTTATCTCAGTCGCAGTCACTTAGCGTACGACATAAACGTATGTGAGTCATCGCACACGCCTTAGTGAATCTCATTTTTTCGCCTGTCTTTCAACTGTACATATTTACCTATGTCCTGGTACGAAAGATTGCAATTCCTCCTTCGAAGCTGTTCTACCATTTGACGGCCAATGAACTGCTACGAAGAGGGGGCGCCTTCAGAGGCCGAATGAAGAGGGGATAAACAGCATTGGGCCTTACACAGGCGTTTGATTGTATGTTGTGTTCGCCATACGAAGTTTGCGAACGTTTTATTGTATTGTTATTGTAGTTTAATAAAATTCTAAATTGTCAAAAAGAAACACGCATGTACATACAACTTCATTCATTGATTATAACAGAAATGATGTAGTATTGGTTGTATTTCAAACAGCAAATTATTTTTATCTAATTTTACATTTATTCTTTTTCAGTTTCTTAAGTTTTCGCATTTTCTCATTCCTTCTTATTGTCACTCTCTTATTCCCTTATATTCTCTTTTATTCTCTCTTAATCAATCTCATTCTCTTATTTTCTCTCATTCTTCCTCAATATTTCTCTTATTCTCTCAATTTCTTTTATTTTCTCCTATTCTTTCTTCATCTACATATATATACATCAGCATTTCGTACAATTATATTGAAGTTCAAACTGTAATAATTTTCAAACTTTTGAATCTGAAGTTAGAATTAAATTATTAATAGCATAATTAAAGAAATCAACTTTACTCATCGTGATCAATTGTCAACTGTCATCGGCAATTTCATGCAGTACCTAATAATACAAGCTAATTCAAACTCGAGAGACTTCGAATTTTATTCAATACATATTCGAGAATATTTTAGTACAAAATATTCGACGAATAATTCTAACCTTAATCACAAAGAAATATAACACGCGTTTTTATTACTAACTTCATATATAATATATTTTGCGAAAATGTACAAAAAATATTGAAAGATTGAGAGCTTCAATTCTTACAATTAGACGTCTCGAAAGTGTCTCGTGTGATACTTGACTAATATTTTTAGACTCCAAAAGCTGCGTCAAATACCTCTTGTGAAATCTACAATTAAATATGTAAGCATTAATTATTAAATGAAAAAAATGTGAAATTGTAAAATAAATCTATTTTTACAACATAGAAATAAAAAATATAGTACCTTTTTTTTCTTAAATTTTTTAATTAAAGCTATATCTTTTGCTAATTCCTCAAAATCTTCCTCGCTTATTCGTTTCTTCTTCTTTTTAACCGAAACTGTTGTTGTAAACTGTTGCTTTAATTTCCTCTTTTCCTTCCGTTTACCTCGTTTCTCCTGCTTCTCAAGTTTTCTTTTTTTGCTTTCCGACCAGGATTCGGTTTGCTTCTGTTTACGTTTCAGATTAACCGGCCAAACGCCGGTGTTTTGATATTTCGTCAATTTTTCCATTCTACGCAGCTCGCGTTGCTGGTTTACGTAAGATATCGTGTTCACATCAATGTCAGGGCCGACGAAGAACGACACGTCCTTTCCTTTGAGCTCAGGCATTTTTGGCATTTTCAACAACCCAAAGCCCATTGCCAGCTTTCCCAAATCAATGTCTTTTAATCGAAGAATTAAATTACATTCGTGTTTGTTATATGCTTGTATGTATGAAACAAATGCGCGATTTGCTATGTCGAATATAAGTCGGTCCTTTAGCTGCAGCTGCCTCATTTGCTGCAAACATTCTTTCACGGTGTCCTCGTCCAGTTTTGTTTCTGTTTTTTGCAATTCTACCTTCTGATTTCTTTTAATAAAGTCTACATATGCATCTTCTGTTTCTAAAAGAAATAACAATGCATTTCCTTCATTTCCAATCCGCGCGGTTCTACCGCATCTATAAATTTTGAAGAACAAATAGGTTTTTATTAATTCAAATATAATCAAATAATAATCAAATAATAAATTAATTAATTCAAATTTAAATCAAATTCTTTATTGACGAAAATGATTTCTACGAAAAAGAAACAAATTTACGTAAAAATTTATTTCGTTTACGTAAAATTATATTTCATGTCTTTAGGACACTGAATTTAAATCTATAGTCAAAATTTTAAAATTCTGAATCCAATATGGTAAAAATAAAAATTTGATAGAATTTAATAGAATAAGCTTTAGGGATCTGAATATTACGATAAAAATTTTTTGTAATCAAAGAATGAAAATAAATTATCTAACACGATTAAATTCGAAAGAGTTGCTGATCGACCTTTAATTTAAATGTAATATGTTTAGAACACAATAAATTTTTTGTGCTTTATAAATATTCTCTTAGGTTTCAAAATTTCTGTGTCACATTGGATCCCGAAAAATCTTACAATTAGATAGAAATCAAGTTCAACAAAAATAGAATTTTTTAAATTTACATCTACTATGTTAAATTAAAAAATCTCGATTAAAATTTTGCAATTTAAAAGAAACTTTTACCGTAAATTGCAAAAATCCTACAAATAAAAAAATGTTTCTTTTTCTTCTTTAAATGCATATATAATATTCTTTCAAATATATACAAATAGTAGTGATATATATATTACGTAATATCATTACCTATGGACAAAACTACTGGCGGTGGAAGGAGGGTCATATTGTAACACCCAGTCTACCTCTGGTATATCGATTCCACGAGCCATTACGTCTGTACAGATTAAAATACCACTTTGGGCACGTCGAAATGGCTCAAACACTTTATATCTTTCGTTCTTCATTTTACCATGTAAGGCAAATATGTTTATAGACGGCAATAATCTGTAAATATATATATATATTTGCATATATACGTATATGAGACTTTTTTCATTTAACTTGGTACAAAAATATAAAAAAAGCAATTAATGGTTTGTTTACCCCTTAACTGTTAAAAAAATTGTTATTATCAAAAATAATTATAAATAAAATAATTAATTTAAAAAAAAAACAATCATATTGATATAAAAATTATATATTCAAAGTTCCTTGGAAAATTCAAATTAGCAATAAAAATTTTAAAATTTAATTTTGCAAACACAATGTGAAAACTATAAAAATTTAAACAATATATATAAAACATTTTCAAGGAATTAAAATTTTAGGAATCATAATAAAAATTAAAAAGTAATCTATTGGTATAACATCTATTGGTTTAATTAAAGTTAAATGACAAAAATATTAAAAAATAATAAATTTTATGTCCCTTTTTATAAAAATATTTTTTTAAATTTCACAATTTTGTTGTCAGACTCAAATTTAAAAAGCTAAAATAATTTTTAGAAATTAAGTTTGCCATATATATTAAATTGTTATATATATTGAAATCGAAATTTTGACAAAAATTCGAATTTTGTGACTCAAAATTCTACGGTATTTTGCGAAAATTCTATAGAAAAATGTTTTTTTTTAAATTTTATAAATAACGCACATATGTATCATTAACACTGGTGGTCAATTGTCAAATACATATATGCATTAATACTTAAGTGTGGATTAACGTTTAATATCTGAAATATACCTTACATTTTTATAACTCGACTGAAGTAATCCACACACGCACATGTAGAAAAAAATATCATATATTTCATTTCAAATCCCACTAAACGTATAAAATTTATCAATACTGATAACTTATTGTCAGGCTGAGCGATTGTGTAGCTATTGTTCAAATTTATAGGCGTCGAGACGTTAGACTTCTCTTTTACAATGATCAGTGCTGGATTTCTCAATCCTGCTCGAATCAATTCCCGCAGTTTTTTTGTCTGTGTTGCAGAAAATAGTCCTGTCCTTCTAAGACGCGGCAAATAGCTCAAAATGATGTCTAAAGTTCCAGAAAAACCGAAGTCTAATAATCTATCTGCTTCGTCTAATACAAGAAACTCCTAAAATAAAAAATACATTCGGTTAATAATTAGAAAATATTATATTATATGCTCATGAGATAATTGTAAAAAAAATTAATTACCAAAGATTTTACACAAAAACCTAAATTTATAGAACTACAATTTGAGAAGATGTCTTCCAATCTACCAGGTGTAGAGACAATAATATTTACTCCTCTCTTCAATTTCTCCACATCTCTTTCACGTGGTCCTCCTCCAACCAGCAATACTTGCTTCAATGATGGAATATTTTCCAAGAATGTATCCAAAATTTTGCTAATCTGTGAAGCTAGTTCTCTTGTTGGACTAATTATTATCGCTCCTATTTCCATAGTCTTCCATTTTTCTGACCGCCTCTGTGCATGTATTATAAAACTTTTTAATATATATTTTTATTGACAAATGTTATAAGCAAATTATAACAGTTTATATTTACAAGTATTAGTGCAAATTATATTCAATGCAGAGGAGAGAGTTATGCCATAGACTTCATAATTATATTTGTATGAATGGAATATATTTTATTTACATAATGTGTATGCATAATTTTTCCATATAAATAATGTGAATTATGTGTATTATTTAAAAAAGTAAGAATAAATTTATTAAACAGTTAAGATATCTAATTTTGCACTTCTCACTATATGTATATATGCACATCAAGAAAATAAAGAATTTATTCTCTAATTTTGTCTAGTATAGTGAACAAAATTTCGTAAGACACTTCTACTTTATGTATAAAAAAAAGTCGGAGCATCAACATCTAAAGTAATATTAACACGAGAAAAATTTTATTTTATACAAAAATAATTATTAATTAAGTTGCACTAATTATTTCACAAACAAGATTAAAAAACATTTTTTAGAAAAGGAGCTATTTGGAGAGATTAACATGTTATTGTTGAGACTCAGACAAATCGATTCATTTGTTTTTTAATATAGAGGTCTAATTTAATGAGATCATATTGTACAAAAATAAGAAATAAGGTTATATTATGGTCATCCTATTAATCAAAGTTAATATTCAATATACTAAACAAAAACAGTCAATAGATTAAAGTAAATTTGCATAATGAATAAAATTTTACCTGTAATATTTCCAACAATGGAATGAGAAAAGCAAGTGTCTTTCCGCTACCTGTGACTGCTTCTGCTGCAACATCTTTACCATTTAATAATAATGGTATACAAGCTGCCTACAAATATAATTAATATGTTATAATGTATAATATAATTTATTTCTACACAGTTATTGTAATATATTACCTGAACTGGTGTCATATTGAAATATTTCAACTGTTTAAGTGTTTTTAAAACAGGATCACTTAACCGCACATCTAATTCTTCCCATTTTTGTGTTTTCATTGTAAATTTTTATCTTAAATTGTTTATAATAATCCTTACTTAGTGGTTGGAATATCGAGTAAAATTACCTATTGATAATAATAATTTAATCTGTAGGTAAACTTTATCAATATATAGAACAATAGTTATTGATATTTATTTTAGGTAATTGAGAGGTAAAGTCTAAAAGTTGGAACAATCGACCCTAAATAGTATTAATAACATAAGTATAATAACATAAGTCATATAAACAAAACCAAAGAATCTAACTTGCTTCAATTACAATTGCAGTGCAATACTCACACGTGCTTGAATCAAAGAGACTGAAGTTAGTAGGTCTGTTCTTTACAGCTGAACTGGCTACACTTGTTCAGAATTTATCTCTTTCCCTCTACATTGGAAGAAGAAAAATATCAGCATAAAATGGTGTTATATTGTTTTGTGGAAGGCTGCGTATCGAGAAAATATAAAAAAGGGGAAATAAATGACTCCAGCCTGCAGTTTCACGGGTATTATAAAAATTATTATTTTCTAACCTAAACACTGTACACAACAACGCATTATTAGGTCTGTTTTTTATAGCTGAACTGGCTGCACTAGTTCAGAGTTTATCTTTTTCCTTCCAATGTGGAGGGAAAAAGATAAACTCTGAACTAGTACAGCCAGTTCAACTATAAAGAACAGACCTATTGTAGTATAGTAAAGTAAACTTTCCATGGGTAATTATTCAGAATCGCTACCTCACCTCCAATTTTGATCCAATTAGGCTTATTCGACGCGTTTTTGTGTGAAATAAAACTTTTCTATGTGAAAAAAGTGTCGTTCTGCCCCGCGAAGCGAGATGTTTAGTGTTAAAAGTTGACAACTTTACAGGTTAGGAAATCTGTCATACGGACGAAGTATAGCGA